TTTTTTTTCTGATCAAAAATGCAGATTGAAAAGGTTAGTAAAGTTAGTACCGGATTCGACTACTTCTTGTCCAGATTCGCCTCATTACCTGTGTTGAGTCTCTAGGCGATTGTGTTAAGTGCAGAATTTTATTCTCTATCGAATGGTACTAGTTTCGCAGGGGATTATCGAGCAAAAAATGCCACTCTTACCCAAAATACTGAATTTTACCCTGTGTAACAGAAACACTTTCTGTATTTCTTGTCCGGATTCATTTTAGTAGCTGTGTTAACTCTCTAATCAAGTGTGTTAGATGCAGAATTCTATTCCCTATCGAACGGTACCGTTTTCACAGAGGATCACCAAGCAAAAATTTCTAACAAAATCGGGTCTTGGACCTCGGTATTCGAGATGTAATCCTCGCTTTTTGCCCGATAATGCCCTCTAAGAATGATCCCATTCGATAGAGAATAAAAATCTGCATCTAATATACTTGGTTAGAAAGTTAACACAGTTACTAAAGCGAATCCAGATAAGAAATACAGAATCTGTGTTCCTAGTACACAGGGAAAAATTCAGTATTTTGGGTAAAAGTGGCATTTTTTGCTTGATGATCGCCTTCGAGACTAGTACTATTCGATAGAGAATAAAATTTTGCACTTAACACAATCGCCTAGAGACTCAACATAGGTAAGGAGACGAATCTGGACAAGCAATAGTCGAATCGGGTGCTAACATTATTTACGTTGATTTAAGTTGTTTTTCTTTACGCTAATACTTAACATGTTTACGTAAAAATAAATTTGGATTTATTTGATCACCAGCTACATTCTGACGATCGCAATGTGGACATCTATAATCTTTATTTTGTACATATGATATATAGAAGATAGTAAATGTGTAACAAATTTTTTTCGTTCGTTCTGCGTTATAGCCATTAAACTATGTATAGGAAAGAAAAACTGATGATCGGTCATCTTCGTGTTTATTACAAAATTATCATCTTAAAGAAATGTCCTTGTTACAATTATGTAAAGCAATACATGAACGTAAACACGATGTAAGATAAAAAAAAAATTTATATACTTTTTAAAAATGATGATTCAGGTACATCAGCTTCTTGATTTGAAAAGACAAGTTGAGTTTGACTTAATACTTGCTAAACAAAATTATTATGAAGCTAAAATGACACGTGCAAGTAAAGATACAATAAATGAATTAGTATACAATATCCGACAATGTGAATTTTATCTTAGTACTGTGATCTGTCACGTAACATTGCTGCTCAAGGATGTGGGCGGATGTGGATGTGGATAAAGGGAATGTCTACATCCATATCAACACTCACACCCACACCGACACTCAAGTCTCATTTTGCATGGCTGAAAGGGGAGATTAATTTTACGATTAAACTTCTCAATATTGGAGATAATGGTTAGATGTCTGATTCCTATAAAAAACAGAAACAAATTGAGTAACCTTGTTCCAGTGATGTCGTACTGATACAACTCGCCATCTATTTTCATTTTTTTATTTCATTTTTTATTTCTTCTTCTGTTTCTTTCTCAGTGATATATCTAGTATTCTCCTTTGTTATCCATATATCTAGTCTCTGTTCTCTTTCTTTTCTTTCTTCTCGTTTACTATATATGTGCGTGTTTTTCATTATTTTAACAGATAATAAAAGATCGTGTGTAAGTGTACACACACAAACATACACATTTTTTAAAAGAAAGAGAACGAACTGTAGCGTGATCCAAAAGGACGAATGCTAACAAACCTGCTGGTAATAAGAAAAATTTGATCTGCTGCTCTTATTACACAGGTTGAGAAATATGAAAAAATTTACGGTTATCTGAAGACTTTTTTGAGTTGTCATAATTGAAACAGATTAACTACATCTAACAATACAATTATTTCATCTGTGAGAGTTATTTTTTTTATAGTTTTTACAGAGCATTTTGGACTCATTTCACACTAGTATTTATATTCAAGAGAATCTTTTTCGATATCGTACGCATAATTTCATCCACTTTGAATGATTGACTTTTGTTATTTATTGAACAAATTGAAGTAATGTGCTACTTTATTCTGCTACTTTCAATGAGAATATGTCAAAAAGCAAAGTCATGAGAGTTTCTGTAAATAATTATACTTACCAATGTTGCGCACAATCCCTTTTTTTTATTTTGTTTGTGATATAGAAGAAAAATTGATGTTTGTCTGGGAATCATTTTGTTGTCTTATCTAACTATATCTGCTTTCCTCATTACCTAATCAGTTAGTGTCATGATTTCAAATTACAGTACAGATTTGTTGATAAATAGGCATCATAACATCTAGTAGTCTTTTTTTCCCAGTAACTTAATTTTGATAAATCTATTCTCTTGATGTAGGAATGTAGATAGAATATGAACAAGCCATCAATACGCACTAGTGGTTCAATGGTAGAATGCTCGCCTCCCATGCGTGCGACCCGAGGTCCGATTCCCGGCTAGTGCACTCTTTCTTTTTCTCATCAAAACTTCAGATTGAAAAACTTTACACTTCGTATCTTTATTAAATTTTGTCATGTTTTGGTATTGACACAACTTTTTATTTATTCAATAAACCAAACGACTATGTTCCATTGTCATGTGACATTTAAGATGTGTATTTTAAGAAACAGTGTAGTAAGAATTTTTCTAAATAGTCATATTCACCAATGCTGCAGACGATCACTTTTTTTTGCTTTGCTTTTTAGTGACAATTAGAACCTATTGCTTTCTTTCGAGATCATTTTGTTGTCTATCCATCTCTGCCTTTTTCATTACCTAATCAATTACCGTCAAAACTTTAAGCTATATTGAACTATATCGTCTCTATAAGAGAAAATCATTCAGTACAACACAATTGAGAAATAGACACCACATTGTCTTGTTTTTCTGTCTTTGGCTTAGTTTGTATGAGTCTATTCTCTTGATGTAGTGATGTATATGTAATATCGACAAGTTACGAACAAGCACTGGTGGTTCAGTGGTAGAATGCTCGCCTGCCACGCGGGCGACCCGGGTCCGATTCCCGGCTAGTGCACTTTTTGTTTCTATTTTCATTTTTAATTTTATTTAAAACAAAAGTACACTATCATGTTTTATTTTGAAAAATATAACAAGAGACAGGTTTTTTACAAATCTAATAAGAGAACATCTAAATAATAATTTTTCGATATAGTTATAAATTCAAACAAAAACATATATAAAATTGAATATCTAAAATATTCTTCAAATTTCTATTTTTTTCAATAGAACAATTGCTACTATCTATGATTTTGATGATACTAATCTAGATTTGTAGACAATTTGAAGAATCTTTACATATGTTGCTAATTTCTCGATACAAAATCTTTTTCTTTCTTGATTAAAAAAACAAATAGTAAACAAAAATAAATAAATAAAAAATAATAAATGGCTATTTGCATTATCTAGGTTTGTGTTTTCTCTTCAATTGACAAAGCCGATATTTCCAGAAAACCCTATAGAATTGAAGAATACATAAAACAAAAAAAAATAGAATTGATTTATTCACTTACTTTAAGAGCAGTACTAACACCATTAACATCCAATAAAAATGTATCGTGTCCGAAAATACTATTTAATTCAAAGAAAGTTACATTTGAATTTCCTGAAAATATCAGCGAAGATCTTTATTCATTGTTTTTGTTGTCTTATTCTGATCTGACCTGATTTTATAAGTTCCTCTGCTAATTGTTTCTGTTGCCAAATTGGAAAAAGAATATCGGTTTGTGCACCTAAAACAAGTACAGGACATTGAATTTTCGAAAAGGCATCAGTTTGATTATCATATCCTTCAGTTAAATTAAACAAATCCATTGCCTAGAAGAAAATAAATATAAGTCAATATTTATTATTTATTTTTCTATTAACCTTAGAAATATATAATAATGAATTAGGATCATATTTTTTTGCAAACGTTAAACCTTGATATTGTAAATAATTTTCAATTTCAAATGTTGGTGTTAATTGAATAGCATCATTAAAACGACGTAAACCAAATCGTTCAAGCCATTCAGGTCCTGAACGATATGTAAGTGTTCCAATTTCTCTTGCAATACGCATTCCATCAAGTGGATAAACACCTTTATCATAATAATGACCATGTTCCCAATTTGGATCAGTCATTATCATTTTTCGTTGAAGATATCGTAGAGCAATAGCAGTTGGATATGGAGCCATACAAGATGAAATAGTTGCTACTCTAAAAAAAATGAAAATGTTAAAAATCAAACTAAATAATTCATTATTTACCTGCCAACATTTTCGGGATATAACAGAGCTGAGAGAATTGAACACATTCCACCTAATGATGAACCAATACTTGCATGAAGCTTTAGTTAAAAGAAATAAATTCTAGTATCTTTTATTATCATTTATATACAAAATGTCGGAAATTTAGACTTTTAGAAATTTTTTGTGATTGAATTTATTTAGTGTCATTGGATAGAACACATCGAGTTATCTATGAATAAGTTTTTCTCAATACTAAATATCATGATTAGAGCCGTTCATGATCACAGATATGTAACTTTGTAGAACACTACAATAGTCATTGTCTGATTCTGCAAACAAAATTAATCAAAAATAAATCTTATGTACATAAATTTTTTTTGTCAATAATGTTTGCAGAATCAAGAAATAATTCTTATAATATTCTAAAAACTGAAAAATTAGAATTTAATATTTTTTCATAGGCAACTTGATGTATTCTATCCAATGACATTAAATAAATTGAAAACAAAAATTTTCTAAAATTTTGAATTTCCAGTATCTTACTTTATTAATTCCAAAATGATTAATTAATTGAAATTGTGCACGAACAAAATCTTCGACAGATAACATAGGAAAAGAAGCACCATATGGTTTACTTGTTGTAGGATTTATTGATGAAGGTCCACTAAAAAAAATAAAAAGATGATCAAAAACTAATAAAAATACAAACATACGTCGAACCATAACAACCTCCAAGATGATTACAACAAATAACAAAAAAATGGTTAGTATCAATACCTAAATTAGGTCCAATAAATTTTTCCCACCAACCAGGTCTTTGATTTTCCTAAATTTATATTTACATATTATTATTTGTAATTAAATATAACAAAAACAAATAATATCACATACATTATGACTTTTTGCATGTGAACTAGCACTAAGACCCGTAAATATAAGAATAGCATTATTTTTTTTTGCATTTAATTTACCCCATGTTTCATAAGCAAGTTGAAATTCATTTAAGGATTTATTATTATATTTCAATCGAAAAGGTTCATTTTGATGTTTATATATTTGATAACCGGATACAACATGATGATAAGCTGGTTCAGGTCCTTCCAAAGAATGTTTCCTGAAAAGAATTTAATGCATATTTTTAGAAAAATATTAGTTATACGTACTGTCGAATGGAAGTAAAAAGACGAACATTTGAAGTTGAAAAGCGGAGAAATTTCGAAAAAAAATGCATCGATCTATTATGTTTCGAATAATATTTTGTCCTTTTTCTTCTGTAGTTACTGTGACCTTCAAAGACACCAATGAATACTTTCGTTTCAATTCTGCATCATACACTCTATGCGTGATTACATAACAGCAAACCTTGAATGTACTTGTGACGAAATATTTTGTACCACACTTACAGGAATATAAACAGTACAATATATTAAAAACAAGATTAGTCAAAGTGTATCTGAATAAACAAAAAAGTAAAGCAAATATAAAAACACAATTAATGTTTAGTACATATTTCTTTTTGAGAAATTTTTTTAAGATAAAATAATTTAAGATTATGATATATAATACAGAATTTTCCAAACAATTAACTTTTGTCAATGTGTTTTCAAGTTTATTATAGATTGTTAAATATTTATTCATAAACTATTAGTTTTTCTTTTGTATCTTCTATAGATGTGTTGCGATAAATTCATTCTGTATTAAAGTCCCACCATATAATGAAGACTATAAACTACAGCGCATTACAATTTTTTTTCAAGTATATTCTGAAAATAAAATTTTTGATGGTGGGAAGCGTTGATATAGATATTTAAAAGGAATATCAAAATGAAAAAGTTTATGTCTATGAATTTTTTCAACAATGAATCTAACGAGGCAATCTTCTCACATATCCTCTTCTGAGTTCAATAGTTTTTTTTTGCCTATCAGTATTACATAGTGTTCTAATAAAAACTCCTAAAAATATTTTTGAGATTGAACTAAGCTATCGAATTTTTTCTAGACGTCCTAGATTTTCGGAAAACTTGTGTTTTCGAATTTTGATCTGAAACTTTGTCCATATAGAGAACTCAACTAGAGTACTAAAAGCCATCAGACAGTTTTTGATTGCAAATAACTTTTGATAGAAATAAGAAAGAAAGTTAGAGAGCATTGAAATCCCAAAATTCCCAGAAAATCGAGATTTTCGAAGTTCCCATAGTACTTTAAATTCTAAATACACCAGTTTATTTAATCTTGGTTTTTCAAAAATCTCCCAAAGAATTATAAATATTACGTTTCTTATATGGTTTGATATTTCCAAATCTCCTCTTTTCAACGATGAAAATCACAAGTCTCTTTCTTGTTTCTGTCAAAAGTTATTTGCAATCAAAAACTGTCCGGTAATTTTTGAGCAGCTCTGTATTCAATATGGATTTTTTGAAATCTTCATATCTTGAAGAGACTTTATTCAAAACTTCTGAATTCTTTTATGAAAACTAATCTAGTTAAGTTGTCTATATGCGCAAAGTTTCACATTGAAATTCGAAAATACAAACTTCCCGGAAACCTGGGATTTCTAGAAAAAAATTTGATAGCATAGTCAAATCTCAATAGTCTAGAAAATCGCAAACCATGTGATATAATGCATCATGTGAGAAACGATATGTAAGCAAGAATATCATTATATAATAAAACAATTTTGTATATATATATATATATATTTTTTAGAAGGATAATGTGTTTCTATCTTTTTCTCTGAATAAACGAGAATTAAAACAGAAAAAAACGTATTTGACAAATAATTTTTTTTTTATTTATTTATCTATTAACAATCCATGTTTATAGAGCTTATCAAAAGGAATTGATGCTCGTTTTTCATCAGTTTCAAACAAACGGCGCAATGCATCACGAGCTGCCATTTCTTCAGCTATTGAGATTGTTGCACCGGCACCTAAAATAAATTTATAATTAATCATAAATAATATTATGTATAAATTTTATTTTACTTTTTCCTAGAAATTCTTTATTAGAATACACACCAACAATGTATGTTGAAAGTACACTAGAAACACCTGTTGCCCATATCAATCTATTATTAGAAAAAAAACCAAATAATATCTTGTAATAATTTTTATCTTTTTTATTTCATATCCAACCGAGATTCAGGTGCTTGTCGTCCATTCTCTTCTAAAACTTTTGTTAATAGACCCATTGGATTTTTAATATGCCATATTTCATTTATATCTTTTCCTACAAGATGTGTTAAAATAAAATCAGAAACAAAAAGTTCAGCTCTTGATCGATCCTAAAAAAAAGAAAAACCAATATCAAAACTAATAATCTAATAAGTGACAATCAAAATCTACTAACATTATTCTCATCAACAGCACCAATAAAAGCAAATAATGCATTTTTAAGCATTTTTGGACGAGGTGATGGACCCTTAAAAAACAAAATGCATTAATTCTATATTTTAAATGTAATGTGTGCATCATAAATAATGACACTATTCGTATTTTTATTTTCTCCACATTTGTAGGTAGAGAAATATGCTTGGTTTCAAACGATATTCTGTTCAATTCGCTGCAAAATCACACGAAAACATTAGATCTAATCTTCAAAGTTGTCGAAAGGATCAAAGAATATTGAGCATTTCTGATACTATCGATTTCTAGAAGATGTTTCCTAAACAATTGTCGATCCTTTACTGCTTTCTTTTGGGCGAGCAAAGCATGGCATAGAAACTTTATTGTCGCAATAGACACAACGCTTTGTCATGATATGGAGTGACAGACATCTCCAGCGAGCTTCTTCACATTGAGTTGTAAACCCTATATGTAAAGAAAATATTCATTTTCATTAACGAGCGAACCACTCCAAGTGACACCCACCATTTGAACTCATATTGAACCCACAGGCAGGTTCTAGTGAGAATAGCAAAAGCCTAAAAGGAGTTATCTCCATCGACCTTCGGCGCCGAGTTATGATCAGTTTACTGGATTTTTCACCCATTTTTAGGTACTCCTAGGAAGACTAAATATAAGAGAGCTTTGATTGAAAATTTTCCGCATATATAAGTGTAATGATTCTTAGAATAGCCTGAAAGTTTCAGCCGGAAATAATGTTCCTATATCAAGTTATTGAATTTTTCAGTGAACTCGATTTTTGTGACATATTTTTAGCAAAAGTCTATTTTTGGAAATTTAATACCTTGATGAAAGAAGATTCTTTTCGGCTGAAACTTTCAGGACATTCTAAGAGTCATGAGATCTATCTATAAGCAAAAATTTCAGACTAAAACTTCGTTACTCGCTCTTCCGAGAAGTACTCAAAAACGGAACGAAAATCCAATAAATTGGTCATAGCTCGAAGCCAAAGGCCAATAGGGACGAACCCTTATCAGTTTTCACTATTCTCACTGAGGCGTGCCTGTGAGTCTAACATGCGTTTAAATGGCGGATATGACTTGGGGGTGATTTCCTCGTGAGTATAAAACTCATGTAAAAAAAGAGGTGCAGTATAACAGTTTCGTGGAAACAGTAGGGATGTACATACTCTCACATTCTTTTGAAGATGTCTGGAGTTTTTGACAGACTAACTTTGAGATATCGATCCAAGATAATAGCCTGTGTGATCTCGATGAAAAATTTCTCAAATAGAATGATCAAGCTGATATTTAATTAAAGATTGGAATTTTAGATGAAGGATTTTCAATCCCATTAACGACCTCTTTTCTAACCCGTTTCCAGAGATCTCATGCTGATTCTTCCGTCAGATTCTAGATCACAACGAGTACTTCCAACTTCAAAAGACCAGCTCTCATATCATCGCATATTTTGGAAGATAGCCATGATAAAATATAGGAATTTTCGCCAAAAAAAAAACCATTTTTGAGAGTCCTATTAGCCGAAAGAGACAATGTATACATCTGAAATCTTCAGTACATATACAACTCTATGAATTCTAGCTTCAGTGGAAATTTCAGACTTTTATTTTCTTCTAATCATGAGATATAAAACTCTAAAGTTGTCTTAATTGTGAATTTTTGACCATATTGACTGATTCACAAAAAAAACCAAAAGCATCCAATATTTATAGATGAAATTTTTCCGTCACTAGAACCCATTAATGTATATCCACAAAAAATTTCAGCTCATTTGGTCAAGCCATTCTTGAGATACAGTCTCATCAAGATGCTCCTTGGTCAAAAGGCTCATTTTTAGTACTTTTCGTAAAATGTTCATAACAAATTGATACTTCAATATTTTTCAATAAGACTTGCGGCAAAAGTCATCAAATTTTTGCTCCTAGTACATATATTAAATTGAGCACGTTGTCTATGAATCGGTCGTGCCTTATGTGAACTGGCTTGTATACACATAAGCGAAAAGAGTCTAAAAGATAGCTACGAAAAGCATGCAAACGAAAAAACAAAGTCGAAACTTTGTTTCTGTTATCTCATTTCTAGTGCACTATAAGTGAAAGAAAGAGAACACCAACTTCAGTAGTTATTCAGTTCGACAAGAAAGAGAACTGCCCGTATACACATATAAACAGAAAAATGAAAACAACTAGTAGCACACACGCTGAAGAGGGCAACGAGTGCATTTATCGAACAACCAATGTACAAAAACACAATCTGTGAAGCTACTCTCCAACAAAATCGAATTGCCTCGAATCTATGCATTAGTTCGATTATCAAAATAAACATACATCACATCGAATAAGTGTTTTAAATCCAAGTTTTAAACTAATATCAGCTATTGTTGATTCCGAAATGAGAAATTCCATTACAGCACTAAAATAATATAATTAATTCATATAATAAATTATTAAAAATCTTACTCAATGCCTTCTTTTGGAAATTTTGGATACCAAAATTGAAGAGCACGTCGTAAAAAATTTTCAGCTATTTCTTCTCCTAAGAAATAATATCAATGAATTACATACAATTTAATTCGTATCTAACCTCGTTTAGCTAATTCTTCATTATGAGTAAATGATAATGTTGTTTGATCAGTAGCAGCAAGACCTCAAAAACAAAAAAAACAAAAAAACAAATATTTTCTGTCATAAAACTTTTCTTATTATTTCATACCAGCTTCTGTACGTTGTTTAGTAATTTGATTTAAAAATGAAGCATCAGTCATAGCATTTCGTAATGATTCAATATTCATTTTTTCACCAAATCGATGTGTACATGCATATAATTCTGCATCATAATTCCTTTTATTTTTTTTTTAAATAAAATTCCTTTTCTTTTTTTTTTTTGTTCGAATCAATAATCAAACCTACCAATTAATTAATGATGATCGAAAACGTTCTGGTTCTGGACCAGCTTCAATTCTTCTTTTATATAAATCATTTTTATATAAATATCGCCAACGATCTTTCAATGGACCAAATATAGTTCCATAACGTAATAAACGTACCATATTCTTTATTAAAATCTAGAAACTAAAAAAGAAAAAAAAAAGAGCTCGGCTGGATTCGTTTTCATTAAACGCATGATTACACTGATGAGAAAATAAATCAAAACAAAATGACAAGACAAAAAGAAAAATAGGACGGATGCAAAAAAAATATTTCTATATGTATATATTTTTTTTTTTATATTAAGCAAGATATTCATATATATTAGCATTGTCTGCTGATCGTTTCATATATTCACGTTCGAGCAAACTTTCAATACGTGTTTTAACAACGCCTGTCTAAAGAGACAAAAAGAAAACAATGAATAAAATAAAATAAAATAAATTTTAATTAAAATTATTCTTACTGATAAAGGAAATTTTAATTGTGAAAATACTTCAGATATAAGCTGAGCATGTGATAATGTTTTACGTGTTTTCATTATTCGAACAATAGCTGCATCAATTTGATAATGACGATCTTGAACAACACGTTCAGTTGTTGAACTATTTTCTTCAGGCTAAAAATAATAGATAAGAATTATAGTAAAAAAAAAAGAAACAAAATTTTTTTTTTTAAATTTTTAATACGAACAGTTTCTTTCAATTGTACTTGATTAATTTTTATTCGAATTAATTTATGTTCAAATGAAGTATTTAATGTAAAACGATCATCGGTATTAATATCTTTACTCTGAAAATAAAGACAAACAAATAAAAACACCAAAATAATTATTGAACGGTGTGAAGAAATTTATTTACCATAGGCTTTTTATTTAATAAACGAATTTTTCCACATGCTAATGATTGTAATGTTCGTTGTAATTCAGGTCCTTCTGCAGAAATTTATTTGAAATAAAAAAAAAAAACGTAATAAATATTTTTTAAAAACAAGAAAAACAAATGATACAAACGAATTTTAGTTTGTTCTTGAATATCTTTATAAGTAAGATCTTTATGTCGATTAAAAAGAAGAAGAACAAGTGCTTGATAAAGTGATACATGAAATTCTTTTATTGCCTGAAAGATATTTATAAAATATATAAAGAATGCCTTAGAAATTCGAAAACTAATTTTAAAATTCATCGTTCTTGCATTTCACAAAAAAAAACAAATTCTTTGTAAATTTAAAAGATAATTGTATGTACTTATAAAAATTCAGAAAGGATTCCTACTAGTAGGACTTTTTTCTAAACTTTCAGCCTATTAGACAAAAATCGTAACAACGAGTTTTGATCTGAAATGCTCTCCAATAATAGTTATTATGATATTTTGAAAGTTTCATCTGAAACAAAGAATTTCTTCTTAAGATATCGTATGCCTAAAAACTAGACTATTTTGAAGCTCTTTTATGAATCCTTTCAGGATTTTAAGCTACTCTATGACCTCAAACGGAGATTATCAGTCGGATGTGCTTCTTCGTCAGGTTGAAATTTTGATGTTATTTGCTTTTTTTTTATTATTTTTATGGAATAAAAGAGATTTATTATGACTATGGTCATATGGAGACTACAAGTAGACAGTTGTTAAAAAGTGACCACTTGTTTTATCTCGATTTTTTATATCACTGTGACATATTTATATCTTTCTTGTTTGAATATTTATTTATCTTTTGTCAATTTAGCGATTTAATTTTAATGAAAATTGATTTACAAACTGAATATTCACTAGCGATGATATTTATATCAATTGAATGGAACTGAAATATTGTGTTGTAAAACTAGCTGATATTGAGCCTATAGAAAACTTTTGAAGTATATTAAAAGAAAACTTATGCGGGTGGGAATAGAAGAATATTGAACAACTGAAAAATGAGATGTAAAAAACCTCTGAAAATTTATAATTATTAAATGTCAAGTAGGTACAAGAACTTATCCAAGTTACAAAGGATTTATTTTTTTATCAATTACAAGAACAATAAATATTTTGGCATTGTTTCAGAACTTATATTTTAATTTCTATATAATCATAACCTTTTCTTTAAGCCATCCTTTAAGCAAACAATGATCAAGTGTATATTGCCATTGAAGTTTACGTCCTGTATGTTTACTTAAATAAAAACTTGTGAAAATTTCTTGTAATCGACAAAACTAAAAAACAAATAAACATTAAACAATAAAATCGAAAGTTAAAAAAAACACATCGAAGATTTTTACTTCAGGTGGTAGAATAGCAGTAACAGACGGATATGTTGGCCAAAAACCCATTGTTAATACATAAACAGACATACCAATATTTCCTGGCGTTTCACGACCATTCATATGCTAAAATATAGATTAAATTTAACGATAAAATTCATTCTTCAATATGCTTAGTTATTTGAATAGAAGGTTCATTTTTTACTTTCAGCAATCTATGTCATTCGAATTGGATAAAAACCGTTGTAGACTGCTCAGTATTATGTGTACTATACCAATAGTTGTTCTTGGATCAACAATCTACTGTCAGTATACAGTCAGAAGTGCGAATTGAGAATCTGTTGATTTGATTTCACAATCAATTAATTCTCTATACATCTTCATTTCTAGTCATATTCTAGATCGAAAGCTACCATATAAAACACATTATTCGAAGTTTTTTTTCGCCTTTTGACAAGGCATGGTAATTTTCGTTTTTTCTAAATACTGATTTTTGAAAAATCGACAACTATTTTACATTGAAAGGAGTTCTTCAAGAAAATGTTCGAGTAAAAGCTACAGCTTAGTTTAATATCACAATTTGCAGAGAAGTGTTCACTCTATAAAACGATTGACTCAGATAATTTTTAGCATGTTCGAAAAGAGATTTATAGGGTTAACAAAAATCTGTTGGTTCACTATTAAAAATAAATTCTCAAGCCTTTCAAAATGTTCCTCACTACTCTCAAACAAAATTTCTAAGTCCCTATTCAAAAGAAACACAAAATCATAGCTTTTAACTTGTCGGAAATACGTCAAAAATGAACCAACATCCTGTCTAAAAACTTTCTAATCATCCGTTATGACCTGTCAACTGAATGAAATATTAATCTGGCAACAATGGTAAAGCAAGCGAAAAAAAAACAACTCAAGCTAGTCAATGTATGATCAATTTTAATATTTTAGTTTTTTCGACATAAAAATTTTTTATATTCATTGAGTACAAAACTCACTGATGCCCCACGAGAGAACTATCCCAAATGACAACCACCATTTGAGTTCATATTGGTCCCACAGGCAGATCTCATTGAGGTTCATAAAAATCTAAAAAGGTTTGTTCCTACTGGTCATTGTCACCGAGTTATTTTCAGTTTATCAGTCTTTGACCTATTTTTAGTTACATCCTGAAAGAACAAATAATGGAGTTTCGATTTAAAATTTTGTCTATATATAGGTCTAATGACTCTTAGAATATCCTGAACGTTTCAGGATGAAAAGAATGTTTCTCTTTAAGATATTGAATTTCGAAAAATAATTCTTTGCCAAAAAAATCGACTTCACTTGAAAATTCAATAACTCGACGAAGAAATATTCTCTTCGGTTGAAACTTTCAGGATATTGTAAAACCCATAAGATTTATCTATAGATAAAATTTTGGATTAAAACTTCGTCATTTAATTTTTCGGGAGTACCTAAAAATAGCTGAAAAAATCCAGTGAATCTGTCATAACTCGGCGCCGAAGATCAATAGAAACGAACCCTTTTATGTTTTTGCTATTCTCACTAAGACCTGCCTGTGGCTCGAATTTGAGCTCAAACGACAGTTGTCACTTATGGCCGTTCCTTCATCCGTATTTTTTTCTTTCTATCACAGCAGAGCTACACATAATGTTTTCAAAACAAAAATACTTCTAATTTTTTATTTTAATTACTTGATCAAATGCTGACATAATATCTTTTGATAATTCAATATCTTTAAACATTCCTTCAAGTTTACTTGTAAATACATTTCCACATTCTATAAAATAAACCAAAAAAAAAATAGAATTTATAAAAGTATATATATATGTATATGATTTATTATCTAACCTTGTTTAAGTTTAAGTAACATTGATTTTTCAGCATCAACAGATGCACTTTTTCCAACTAATAAACGTTTAGCTAAATCTTTTTTATAAAATGCTTCAAATACATCTTTTCCATGAATAAAACGAAATAAAATAAGTAATTTATCAAGAATTTTTTCTAATTCTTCTTCTGTTGCTTCTTTATTTCCTGCACGTAATCTTGCATCAACAGCTTTAGCTAATAAAATTAAAATAAAATTAAAAACAAAAAACCAAAAAATTCTATTCAAACCAATTAATTCAGCTGGTTTGTTCGCACGTTGATTTATAAAATATTCAAATGAATCTTTAAGTATATTTACAAATTTTTCATTATTATGAAAACATTCATGAACAAAATGATCTAATTTTTCTTTAAATTCAAGTAATTCATCAACCATTTTATCATCTTTATCAACATCAATTACTAATGCACGACCATGAACCTTTTAAAAAAACAAAACAGAAAAAAAATTTTTTTTTTTTGTTCTTATAAAAATTCTTTCGCTATTACTTTAGTATAATTTCCAAATGCTTCACGAAGATCATGAATGGCATTAGGACCAATTCGAAGAAATAAATCATACATTAAAGCAACAGATGTAAAACGATTTTCATCAATAAGTGTATCAAAATTTTTTGAAAGCATTTGTTTAATATGATTTGTTATTAAATTATTTTCAACAATATGAATTAATTGAACTCTAAAAATAATTTTCAAAAATATTTAAATTTTTTATTAACATATTTAATTTATTACTTTGTTGATTGATCAATATAATTTTTAATTCGTAATTGTTCTTCATTAAGACGACGTTCAATATGTGAAAGATATTGACTTAATTCTAATCTTTGAATTAATTGACGACCTTCATTATGATATAGTTCTTCAGTTGATTGTAAAAATGATGGTTCAAAATCTTTTTTATAAAGCTAAATTAAAATAAATATATGAACAAACATATATCATTATTTCATACACGAATTCAGTTCAACGTGTATGCCAGAAGATCCTGTTTACATGATATTTCGTATAAAAATTACTGAAGCATTTGGACTATCAAAGTTAATTTGAAAACGATGGATTTAATGCATATTAATACCATTAAAAATTTATAATCTTTAAAGACTCGACTGCTATACTTTTATGAATTCGCATGGATTTATGACATAGAAACAAAAGTGGATCTTGCTTATTGTTATAGTTTTAAATTATTATTATACATCATTTTCAAATGAGTAATAATTTTTATTTCAATTTAATAAAACTTACATGAAGATCAATTAACATTCGAAGAAGATTTTTCATTAGACTGCTATCTATTGTTTCACCTCGTCTTTCTTGTTCGATTAATTTTAGAAGACCACTGATACATCTAAATTAAAAAAGAAAAACAATAATAAATATTTAAAATATTCTATTTATTTTTGAATTATACCTATTTGAAATTATCGAATTTTGCATTATATAACGGCGAAATAAATCTTGATTAAGTTCCCTAAAATTATAATAAAAAAAATGTATTTTTCGAACTAATAGTTCTATTAAAATAATATACCATATACTAGGCACAGCTGCATGTAAAACATAAGTTCGATCAAGTACAATAAATAATTGACGAATAAGTACCTGAAAATAAGTATAATAAATTAATATATCAATCTCATTAAAATTGTTCTTACCGATCGCACAATATGATCATTCCAAATAGAATTAAGTAATCGGAGATAATCATAACTGTCATTCGCATCACTAAATAGAATAAATCATTTATTAAAAATTTAAATAAAAAAAGAAAAATTCTTATTATATTACGTAAGTAAAGGAGGTCGTAGAGTTTGTATATGATCATCGAGTACTTTTTTTAAATTTTCATAAAGAAGACTTGGTGAAGACGTATTTGTTTCATTCATTGATGTTGTACATAGATGATCAATATGACGATAAAGTTGTTCTTCATTTGTTGGACTATTTCTACCATTAAGAATAGCTTCAAGTGCTTGTTTAAGTAAAGGCCAAATTTTATCAAAATAATCCGGTGGTGGTGTAAGTGCAGAAGCTAAATCACAGTGATTTTATTAATTGAAAAAAAGAAATCAAAAAGTTGTCTTTATACTAACTTTTTAAATTTTTTATCACAAGTTTTTTAGTTGTCATTGAAGAATTTTGTGATGAGAATAAAGCAGATGACGAACCATTTGAATAACGATTACGTGTATCTTTCTCCATGAAATTATTATTATTATTATTATGTTGTTGTTTAATTTTTTTTATCAGTAATGATGAAGATTTATTTAAGGAAGTAGTACTTTCGTTTGACAAACTACTTTGATAATCTCGTTTCCAGCAAATCGAGGAATTTGTGTCACTGGTTCGTGACATTCACAAATAAGTAAACATGATTATTTCGTCTATTGAAATAAACAATGAAAGATAATTTAGATCGAAATATGACAATTTTTTTTTGCTTGCTTTAACGATATTTGATTGATTTGTATAATAAACGGACTCTCTAGAGTAAAAATAAGAACCAGCTGATTACATGAACCTTTTATATTATTGGTTGAAAGTCTATCAATCAGAAAATAAATAAAATAAATCAATGAATCATAGTAAGATTTTCGAAATTTAACAAATTGTCAATTACAAATGCAATATACTTTGGAACAAATTACTAAAACTCTTCTTTCTCGTACACCATATCCTTCTCTACTTGCTCCACCACCAAGTGATCCTTCAAAACGTGTATCTAGTACACCATGGAATCAAACAATACATGATGATTTATTACAATTACAAAAAAATCCTAGTATACCTGTGTTTACTATAGCTAGTCTTCATTTAATTAATGATGATATTGGTTCATGTCATGATATTGTTGAGAAAAATATGGGTCATGGTATTGCTGATTATCTTCATTATTTACTTCATCGACGTGAAGGGGATTATTGGAATGCAAAGTGAGTATTAATAAACAGAAAAAAAACAGCCTCGTTTAATTATTGAATTTTTTTCTTTTTTCAAGATGGTGGATTCGTCAATTAAAAAGTCAAGAATTTAAATCTGTTTATTTATCAGAAAAATATAATGCATTTAGTGATCAAAAGAACGTTGATAATTTATCAAACAGTGCTCAATTAGCTGAAGCACACAAACGTGCACAAACATTTGTTGATCGTTGTGAACAAGCAGAAAGACAAGAAAATGAAGAAGAAAAGGATTTATTAAAACAAATGCAATGGGATGAAATGAAAATAGTTTTTGAATTTACTGGAAAATAATTAATGAATTTTTTTCTATGAAGAACTAGCTCTTTTATTTTTAATTATATTTAGCTTTTCTAACAGAGATTTAAAAAAAAGAAGAAAATATTTAAAATTGAAATAAAATCAAGAATGTATGTCGTGACAATGATTGATTCTAAAACACTTTTAGTCTATGATTGTTACAATTTATTTAATTGTAGCAATCTTTTTGTATCCATAGACTACGAAAGAATAACCCTTGTCTTTGAGCTATCTTGCGGTATGAGGTGCTGCCGAACGACAGATTCAATAGCCCGATATCTTCTTTACAGCTATGACTAGCTGTAGTTCTGAAAAGAAAAACGGTCTAACGCAGAGTTCTTGAGCTCCCCACACAGACTAACTACTTAGTAGAGCAAGTATATGTCACAAAGTAATCAACACACTATCAGACGGGCGATCCAAGACAAATAGCCGACAGTGATTTGTCCCGGGTGATTCGCTAGCTAGTGTGGTACTGAGGTTTGTACATAACACCTTGTAGATACGTGTCGAACAACGACATGGTCGCCGGTTCCATAAACTAAGATTTAATATGTGCCTACTAAATAGAAAAAACAACAGTTTGCATAATTTAGTATTTCGAGATTTTACTACAAATCCTAGCATTTATTTACGGGCACTTACCATTTCAAAGAAGAAAAGTCAATTTTCGTTAGAAAAATTGAAACTGAGATAAATACATAGGAAGGCAGCATGAGACCTGATTTTCTATCAACAACGTTATTTATTATTTCTCACCTCGTTTTTTATCAAAATCGTTGAGGACTTTCGTTATCTTCTACTTGCAATATATACTTTTTTTCCAGAAAAAAAAAGGAAATCTTTTTCTTTATTTCTGCTTTTCTGATCATGCGTGCCAGAACTCATTATAGTCATTTCTTTTTTTTTTTTATATTTTTGAAAGAGCATGTGAAGTTGCAATGACTAGGTTTTTTTTTAATTAAGTCTTTCTTTTATTATATAAAAAACGTCCTTCTATAAATAGATGACCATTTTTTGACGTACTGATTCTCGTCCTTTTTCTCCGCATAAAAAGTAGAAATTTAAAAAAACATAAGGACACTACAGTCTGGCATGTTCTTTCAAATAAAAAAAAACTACATCTATAAAATCAGGATCTGTACAGAGTTTTCGGTTACCAAATGACTGTTTTTTTTTACCTTTGTTTGTTGCATATCTTCTGAAAATGTCATTATATAGGTCTAAAAGAGTGTGGGTATGGATAGAATACAGGCCTCGTCGTTACTCTCATCCACCCATATCTACATCCTTATTAAATCAAAAACATTGTTTTTTGTTTTTTCGAGTATACTTTTTACGTGGGTAAACTTTTCTTAATAATGACTCAATATAAAAGTGATCATTTTTTTTCATTACACAACAGATAGTTTGAACTAAGTTGTACTAGAGCTTGATTTTTGAATTTCTCTTTTGCTGAAATAAAAAACTTAGATCTTTGATTTTCATTAACGATTATTTTCACTACAAATTAGAGAAATTCTCGCAAAAGTTTTTTTTAAAAATAAACAAAGAGAAATTAAAAAATTTGGCTCTATTACGATCTAATCCTAAGTGTACTCTACAATTTAAAAACTATCTCAACATGTTAGCTTGTATCCTTTTACTCATAATCTATTCTAGCTAAGACTACCATTCTCTGACATTTTGGTTGAAATCGAATGAAAAATAAAAATGTTTATTTTTGCGAGGGGCCCTTAACGTAAAAGATCTGTTCGATTAAGTCTAAGTGATTCTCCATCTGGTCAAATAGTAATGTATATCAACTATTCTTTCATATAAAACTGACAACCATATTGATTCGATCGCCATATGAGATGATAATAGTTCTTGTCTTAGGATGAGATTTAGCTTGAATATAAACATTTGTTATCTTGATACGAATAATAAATGAAAATAATCTTTCAATTTACAAACAAAAATCAATATTTTTTTTTTTATTGATTAAATCTATCATTTATATTCTACAAAAAAAAACGAAATTAATGTACTATTGGTTAAGATGTAAAATTATACACATATTTTTGTAATGAAAAACATATTTCATCTGTTGTAAATAATGTCCATTTATCTGTTAAATTAGGATCAAGTAATATGTTAAGAATATCAGGTTGATGATTTTTATTCGTTGATAATTGTTGATTAATTATTGTTTTAATTAATTTTCTTCGGTGATTCATTATTGATTCATTTTGAAAATCATACAGTGGTAATTGACGATAAAATAAAAGTGGATAAATACATAATTCATAGATTTTAATAAATTCTTCTCTTTGTTGTCGATAATTTAATTCTTTACGTTGATGATATAATTTATTTAATGCACAGATAAGATCAGGTTGTTCAAGTACTTCATAAAATGTACTAAGAAATATTGAATCAAGTGGTGTAGTTGATAAATTATATGAATGATAACGTTTTTGTAATTGATAAGCAAGTTCATTACGATAAAAAAAAAGTATTTGTATTAAATTTATTGGTATAATCATAGATGTTACAGGTAAATTATCATAAAGTAAATCAACATATTTTTCACGAGATTCTAATGAAAATCGAATACGTGCTTGTTTACGTCGATTAAATCTTCCTGATAAACCATCTGTAGGAAAATTTTTATATTGTGAATCAAGAAGAATATCTAATTCATGAAAATGTCCACCATGTAAAAGTTCATTATAAGTTTTTTTATCACGCATAACTGAAAATTGATTATCATCAAATGGTATCATTATCCAACCACAACCAATTTCACATTTTTCATTATTTTCTTTTAACTGACATAATTGTGATAATTCAATAAGTAAATATAAATGTTTAGATGGATCAAATTCATTTGAACGTATAAGTAATTTAGTTTGTTCATCAATAAATGTATTGTCATTATTAACTGCAAAGTACCAATCTTCAGTTAAATCACGTTCATCGATTTTATTTAATATATGTGCTCGAATTGCATGTATATTAGAAATTATTTTAAATCCATCGTGTAGACATATACGAACACAACGACAAAGCACATCAATCTATATAGAAAAAAAATAAATGAAGGGTACCGCCTCTTCCCCCGCTTTCGTTACGCAAAGTTTTTTTTTTTTTTGTGGGTATTGTACAATCTGAAATAGTATCCATCTACTGTCTTTGTTTCAAAAAAGATTATTCTGCTGATTTTTGGCAGCTCTTACAAAAAAAAAACATACGTTATTTAGAGTACCTTGCATCTTTTAATTTTTTTACTATAGCGTCTCGGAGAACCGACAGGGAGGAGGGTCATTGTGATTCCAGTATCTCATAGAAGACAGCATCCGCGAACTTTGAATCTATGATAACTTTTGCTCTACTTATCCTGAAGAGAAAGACATAATAGATTTTGACATACTTGTTGACCTTTAATTCTTGGTATCTTCGAACATTTTTGAATTCTTAAAATTTTTTGATATTTAACTTGTTCAAGATATATTTGATCGGTATCATATCGCCAATGAAGATCAGTAAAAGTAAAATTTGATTCAGTCATTTTCGGTATAAGAGTATGTGATAATTTATATTGATTATGTTGAGTTAATGATGCTAAATCTGATGCTATAAAACCTGTTGGTATATCATTTTTTGTTTTAAGTGCATCAACAAATGTTAATGGTGATGTAATTGATTTTATTTGATTTCGTAATCTTTTATCTGATATTCGAGATTGAAGTCGAATATGATTAATAGGTACTAAACCTTGTTGTTGAGTTTGAGAATTTTTAAATAACCACCAATCATCAGGTTTTTGTTCAACAAGTATTAATATTTCACCTTTATTTATTGTTAAATCACCAGTTTGAAGACCCTTTAAATTATTTATAACACGAAATTGTGTACCTGGTGAATATGTTCCCATTCGAAGTTCTTGCACATGTGCATTCATTATATTTGATTCATCTTCTTCTGTTTGTTCATAACCATGAATAGATTCTTCTTCTTCTTCTTCTTCTTTTACGCCACGTTCATATAATCTTTTAAGTTCATCATCATCATCATCATCATCATCATCATCATCATCATCACTTTCATGATTATTTTGTACTGTATGTTCTTGTGAACTTGATGTTTTTTCATGAGATACTGAACTTGAAGTTGATCCAATAGTCGTTTTTCTAAATATTGGTGGTGATGATTGTTTTGATTGAACTTTAGTTATTGATGGTTTTTTATTCGTATTTGATGATGTTGAGGTTTCTGATGAATTTTCACTAGTGTCGGAATCTGTTGAACTACCATCTTGTAATTTTTTACGTTGAATTTCATTTGTTGTTTGATGATTATTGTTTTCGTCATCTTCACTTTCATCACTAGAAGTTTCTATGTTATTTGTTGATTGAGGTATACTTGATGATTCTACAACGAGAAAAATATTCTTTAACAAAAAAGGTATTAATTAAGATTTTACTTTCTTTTTTGTTTGCCGTATGATGACGATCATCATCATTCTCTTCATTTTCTTCTTCATCACTTGTTGTTTCATCATTAGATTCCGATGGTGCTGCTTTCTTTGTTTTACCAAATGAAAATTTACCTAAAGGTGATCCAAATCTTTTTGAATTTTCATTTTGAGTCGATACAGATGAAGCGGTAGAAGGTTGATCATTGACAGGAATTGTTTCAGTTGCTTTTTCAAGATGTTGATCAACTTGTTTTAGTTTATTTAAAAGATCGGATAAAGTGTTTAATGCATTTTGTTTTGATTTATCAAATTTTTTTATCGGCCAATTTGGATCTGATTCTTTTGTCATTGCATTCATTTGTTTTTCAAGATCGTTTATACGTTCTATTAGAGTTTGTATTTGTCTTCGACCTTCTATTAAACGATCACGATTAGCAATTGCATTCTTTGGTCTAGTATCAATTTTTTCTAATGTCTTTATATTCTCTTTTGCATTGATTGTAACTTGATCAATTTCATTTAATAATTGTTGCATTGTTTTAGTCGATGGCGTTGCTACTATCTCAGATGATGATGAACTGACAGATTCTGAAATAGCTCGTGGTACTTGTTTATTATTTGTTGACATCTTCAAATAGATATATCTATTATGAATATGAATCAGTGTGTAGCCGTATCAACCGTAGTTTAATTTAAGTAGTTTAGTAGCCATTAGAAAATGCATAGAAACAGTTGATGATATTAATGACATCTATTGATAGACAGAGAATCAGTTTTTGTGCTTGCGGGAATTAAAATATATGTTATCTATTAAGATATATAAATAGAAACTTCTATTGTTAGTATTATTATTTGGAGATTACTGCAATGATCTTTTATTATGTACAAAAAAGATTTATATAAAAAAGAAATATTCTTTAGTATTAACAAAATTGAAAAAAAAGAAAATACATTGAAATTTGAGCTGCTTTTGTCAATATATGGGTCATTACTCACTTTTGATTTTCAAAAATTTGCTTTTCTTAAATAAAATTTAATAGTTTTTTCAATACGACAAATTTCTTATCATTTGTTTTATTACATGAAGCTTTATTTCATATAACAAATGTCTGAAAGAAATTCAGGAAGTTAATGTTTATTTCAAATACTTATCCTTTTTAATATGTATATACAAACATACGATTGATTGTAAAATGAGCTTCACAATTAGACTCTATTCTTTCAAAGCAAACAACTTTTCTTATTAAATAGATTAAACCCTAGTTGTATTATTGAATTTTCAACAAAAAAAAAAAGAAATCTTTTTTTAATGCCAATGAAAGTATTTATCCATTTATATTATATAGAAAAAAAAAGATTCAATATGATGATGATCATCATCATCAACATTCTTTATTATTGTTCTTTCGTAAATGTTAAAATTTAATTTTATCCAATTCAATCTTGTATGTCGGTGTCATTGATAATGCATTTCATTTTTTTTTTCTTTAATACAATGTCAATCAACAAATATTTGCTACTATACTACTACAACTAAAATTTTGTTGCTAGAACTCATTTAAACATTCATTTATTGATGTAGGCGGTGTAGAACATCATTCGTCGATAAGTAATACTGGTCCAACAAGCGAAAAAAAGAAAGACGACACACATTACTAGTCTTTATTTGTCTTTCTTTTATGATTGAATTTAAATATGAAAAAAAAATAATAGTGATAGGCGCATCGTCGTCATTTTTTTTTCTTATTTCGTTTTCTCATTTAGATTTTAAGATGAGCCAGTGATGTGGTGGATAGATGGAAGAAACAAAATTGAAAAAAACAGCTTTTCATGAAATAAGAGAGAGAGAGAGAGGGTGAGACAAAGAGATGTAATGATCAAATTACGAAAGAACAACAATATTCATACTCTCATAACGAATGACGCGATGGTAAGTAAAGTGATGACGATAACACGAAGTGGGTGTGTGGACGGTTGATGATCTGAAAGAAAAGAAGCGGGAACAAAAAAAACTGTACTTTAGCAAAGAGGATGATGACGTGCTTTTCGCTTTAATATTAAGAATAAAAATGGGAGTGAGAGGATCAACATTAGAAATAAAAGAGAGATTTGTTAAAAAAATTCTTATTGAATCATTGTGTAATCATGTCTATTTGTTTGTCTATGTAAAAAAAAAGCATTTAATTTTATTCGAAGTATTGTTTTCATGTAAGTATTTTTTTTTCTCTTGTTTTAGAAGTCAATCGACCTTCATTCATCTATTTTCATATTTATATCGTACAACATCTTAAGCTTCTATTTGAACCCTACTAGTATCACCTTGCATGATTATTATAAAGCTGGTTTTGAGAGGTGTTTGCATTGATTAATTTACATTTTCTTTTTTCTTGTTCGATGTCGCGAGACGATTAGATTGGATTGATAGATAGATATACATATATAAAGCTTCTTTTCTATCTCTTTCTTCATTCTTAAAAGTATTCATATCAAACTCAATAGACAGACTGATGCGTATTTGCTTAAAGCTTAAATGAACACGTGCTGATGCTAGTGTTGTTGTCGTAGAGAGGCGATTATTGCATCTTTTCGTTCGAATAATGAACAATACATATATACATACATACATACATACATACATCGGTCAACGACAAGCAAGTGCCAATATACTTTAGATGATCAAAGTTTGCTTTATTTCTCTGTCTATTGATAATTACACTTGTCGATAGTTAAATGATTACAATTTCATTTATTGTTTCGTCTACTTTCTAGATGGCATTTGCACAATTCCGAATATTATTTAAAAAGAATTTTCTTCTTCGTCGTCGGCAACCGGTAGATATTTAATTAATATTTTATTAATATGTATTTTTCTTTATTATTATTATAAAAAATTTTTTTCAGGTACTTTTTATTTTTGAGCTTGTATGGCCTTTATTACTTTTTTCTATTGTTGCTATTGTTCGAAAAACTTCACCAACTCAAAATCGACCAGCATGTAAATTAATTTCACCAAAAAAAAAACAATTTCTTTTTTCATCTTTACAAAATATATTTTATTTTTTGTTAAAATAGGTTATTATAATCCTATGCCTTTACCTAATAGTGGTACAATCGGTTTTCTTCAAAGTTTTTTGTGCAATACAAATATTAGTTGTCGTTTAAAGCCCTTCGATGTTCAAACATCGTCGTTAAAAAATTAGTAAAAATAAATAAAATTTGCTTTTTATTTTTTTAAAAGAAAACAATTTTTTCATTGAAATTTTAGTTTTCCATCTGTTTATGATGGAATACTTGGTTTAACAGAAACAGAAGGTGTAAATACTGTTCTATATAATTTACCTAATTTAACACGTAGTGTTGATCATATAAATAATGCATTCAATGATACATTTTTACAAAAAATCTTAGATGGAGAATTTTTTATGTATGATTTATTTAATAATACAAATGAATTGAAAAATAATTTATTATTAACTGGAATGCCAAATGATTTAATTAATGATTTTTTAAATGGTTCATTTAATTTAACAGAAATTTATGATACATTTAATCAAACAATTAATTTAGAATCATTTTGTCGTAATGATTTTCTTAATCATCTTCTTACAGTTGATAATTTAACAAATCCTGATATTGTTATTCAAGCATTATGTCAATTAAATGTTCGAAATCTTACAAAGGATATTAATACATTTCTTAGTCAACTTAATTATGATAAAATTAATAAATATGTAAGTTTAATATTAAAAAAAAATTATCGATGAAAGAGAAAAAACGCATTTGTTGTTTTTTCTTTGTTTATTTAAGTTTGGTAATATTTCTCAATTAATCAATGGACAAGAACTTAGAGATAAAATTCAAAAATTAAAAGATTTAGAAAATACTATTAAACAATTAAGTTCATATGCAGATTTAATAAAAAATATGCCAAATATGACAGAAATAGCACGAATAATTCCACGATTAATACAAATTATTGAACTTGTACAAAATCAACGAGATTTAATACAACTGTAAGTTTAAATTGACTAATGTCAGTATAAATCCGAAATCAGTTTCGATTTGATTTGTGGTTTCTAATTCTTTTGAAACCGTTGAACTCTACTCTTCACACATGTCCCTATAGTTCATCTTTCTCAGTCAAGTAACAATATAGTATATTTTTTGTTCAAAATCGATGAGACGAAGGCCGGAGTACTGTATGTTTTACGGTATTTTTTAGATCAAAGCAATGGTTTTTCTCAAAAACACTGAGAAAACTGATTTTTAAGTTTCAACTTCAAATTTTGCACAGAGATAAACCTTAATGATACTCGTTCTTTTTTTACTACTATTAGTTCTCAATGACGATACCATTGATTCGCCCGAAATTTTAACCAAAGATAGAGCATCTAAAACCAGGAGATATATGGTCGAGGAAAACAATTTAGAACTTGGGCCTACTTACGACTCCTCCCGGCAACTTTGCCCAGTTAGCCTGAAAAAAAGCTTTTGTAGATACTTGAGACTATATCTCAGAAGTAGTTTTAAGCTTTTGGAAAAATCTCTGTTTTATGAGAGAAATACATAATAGTTCAGATTCAAAATCCAGAATGTTAGCGTTCAGAACTCTATAAGTGCTGATAGGAAGGTCAAAAACGAAAATACTCGATATCATCTCCAAAGAATGCTTCTAAGTATCTATGGTAAAAACTTCAAGCGTATTGATTGTATCCTTTTCAAGAAACAGGAGATTACTCTTAAACACAATTATTTATTGTGAAAGCTCCCGATCTTTTCGTCGTGCCTATGTTAAAAGCATGTTATTTACATCGATCATATACACGCTTAGATTTGATGTTCTTGTTTCATGATAGAAGCAAATCTCGTTAGAGCCTGTTTCTATGCAAAGTTTTAAGTCAAAATTTGAGAATCACTTTTACCATTGTTTCTAAAAGAGCTATGGCTTTGATTTAAAAAATATCGTAAAAATATAATATCTCCTCAGCAATAAGTTTACAGTAGAAACTCTTTTCAAAGTATTTATAACTTATTTGAGTTTATATGATGCACATTGTTTTGATTCAAAAAGTGATTAATCATTGGGAAATTTTTTTCATTAAGATATTTTTAAGATATCATTCGTCAATATTTATTTTCGAAAAATTTATTCAAATCATCTGTATGCCATCTCTTATTTCTAGTTTTGGTCAAATCTTAGTTGACTTACATATCATTACTGAAGAACGTATTATATTACAATTGTATGAAATTACTCAAATGTTTGTTGATTTTCTTCAACGTTATGATAATATGAGTAAATATTTCTAATAGAAATTTGTTTTTTTTTTAATTTTTCTAAATAAAAATGTATATTAATTCTTTTGTTTTTCTTGTTAGCTCAAACTTTAACAGCTGACCAATTATTTAATAATTTAACATTAAATATAATTTTACAATCAGATTTAACACTATCAAAAGAATTTGAAGGTTTAATATTAACGTCAAAAATAAATTATCTTGTTGTAAGATTAAAATATATTTTTTTTTTATTTCAAAAATTATTTAATATATTGAATTTTTATTTTAAAGTTAGCAGATTTTCTTGTCGGAAAAATAACTGAAACACCAAAACATCGATTATTTTGTCTTCAACCTGGTTTTTGGACTTTATTTATTATCGATGATACAACTTCAAAAAATCTTAAAGATCGTGTTGATCGTTATTGTGGTATTCATAATAATCTTGATTCTGTTTATAATAAATTAATAAATGGTATTCGTATTGACCAGGTAATTTATTTCTTAGAAATTTATTTAAACATAAAATTCTTTGTTTTTTTATTATTATTATTATTATTAGTTACAAAAGTATTTTACTGATATGCGTTTTTCATTCATGGCATTTGAAGGTTTAGCAAATATATTATTTACAATAAATAAAGCAGGATCATTTGAAAATGATTTACGTTTAACACTTGATAGTGTTTCAGCTGTTAGTGAATTATTAACAAGAACAAAAACAGCTGGAGTTAATCTTTATGCGTAAATTATTTGATTTTTGATTTTTTTTTCTTATTAATTTTTCATTTTATTTATTCTTATAGTTCATATAATTTTGTTAAAAGAATAACAAAAACATTTAATCCAAATTTATTAAAAACACCGATATTTAATACACTTGATATAGTTATACCAGTTTTAACACCATTATTTAATTTGGATCAATTTATTTCTTTAATAGCTGGAGTTCCACGTGGAACTGTTGATAATGTTATAAATAATATTAATATAATTAATAATTTTTTAACAACACCAGCTCCAACAAAAGTAAATATTAAAAGTGCAAAAAAGAAAAATTTGATTTTGAATTTATTTATTTTTATTCACTTAGATTATGCGTTTAACAACAACGGCAAATATTTCAAATATAAGAACAACAACAAAACCTCGATCAAGAGCTCGTTATATTGATTGGTCAACACTTTTTCAATCAAATAATTTTCTTCAACAAAATATGCCAAAATCATTTGTTATTCCACAGAATATTGCCGATTATAGTCAATGGGTCAAACGACAAAAACGAGTATGTATAATCTCATCTTTTAAATCAAATTTTTCTATGATTACAGTTAAATTTTTCACAATCTAAAGTAGATTCAAACATACAGACTTGTATTCTTGGAAATTTTTTCCTTCAAATAAAAATAGAAAAAAATCTCAATATTTTTATACATACATACGCATATGAGTGCTTGCATAAAAGATGCAAATACCGTCAAAATGAAAAATGATGTGTTGTATTCCAGTAACATTTAGTTCATTCCGTGGACACCAAGAATTCTTCGAACTATTTTAGCTAACGAGATATTCATCCATGAAGTGGGAAAACTTCAGCTTATTATAAAGTCCATTGATATAAATGCATATTCAACAAATTAGAACTAAAGCTCTCCTTTCGGCACTTCTGAAGAACGATCCATTAGAAAGTTTTAAAATAGACAGATCTCAATGAGTAGAACAAAAGTTGCCATAGACTTAATGCTGTCGTGTAGAAAATATTGTTATTGTAAGAGCAAAAAATGCGTTCGTTCACTTCACAATACGTCTCATTGGGCTAAAAATTCTTTTATCGATACTAGACACTGTTTGAGTTGTCTACTTTTTATCTTCTTCCGTTCAAATAAAAACATCAAAATCCTGAGAGTATCCTCAAAAATGCATGTTGCTTTTTACTAAAACTTGTTTTTGTAAATCTTGGCAAAAGTCACCAGCATTCCGTATTTTGACATAAGAAAAACTAGGAACCCAAAATACTTTCTAATATAAGTAGAAGAAAGTTCCAGCTTGATCGGATGCACTACGGTTGAGAAATGAGGGATGATTCGCCACTTTTTTTTTTATCACAAGACTTATTTTTCAAAAATAACGAAATAATACGTAAATTTTCAGCGTAAATGTTCCATATTTTCCGGTTTTTTGGGCTTTTATATAAATATCCAGTAAATATAGAATAGAAAATAACAAAAATGAGAAATTTTATAATTTTTGGTCGGGAAGGGTGAAGGCACGTCCTTCATTCAGCGGAGTCTAATGGACACTGAGAAGCTTGTTTCTGAATCGGCATGGTATGATTCTAATTAAGATACAATTACAATGAACACATTCAGCACTCTACAGTACTGCAGTTCTATATTATTCTGTTCTGAGAGTTTCACAGACAATGAACGTATCTTTCTCGAAATATTCAATATACAAAAAAGCAACAGTTTACCATAGGACGAGACAATAATCGAGTTTTCCGTGAAATCGAATTCATGAGAAAGATATGTTCGTTTTCATTGAACTATCGAATGATTATCAAACGTGCCTATCGGCAAAATTTCACGTCAAACTGTTTGTTTTGAATTTTACAGCAATGTCTTGTCTTAGTCTCACTGAGATCTACTCATAGTCATAATATGAAGTCGAACGGTATCTGACGGTTGTATATGTTCCTTCCTAAGAGAAGAAACTTTTTTCCTTATTTATTGATTGTATATGAAATAATACTTTTCTATTCTTTTTCAATATATTTTATTTGAAATCTAATAAAATGAGATGTTTTTTTTTTAAATTTTAGCAACTTGATCTATTATCTGGTTTTCTTGCTCAAACAAAATCTCCAAATTCTGCCGATTCAACATTGTTTGATGTGCCTGATTTTGTTAAAATGTTCAATAGATTTTCTCCTGAAACACTTGAATTTCTTTGTATAGAACCATTAGTTAATTTAATACCAAATGATCCTGTACTTAATTATATATTCGGTATTACACGTGTATTTGAATTAATTAATACATTTATGTCAATAATAACATCAACAAATCGTATACGTTGTTTACACAATCCTAATTATGATTATGATCAAATATCACAATTTCTTCGTTTAAATAAAACAGCTGGATTGGTAAAATAGAAACAAAACAAAACTAAAAAATTTTAATTTTTACTTTAAAATATTTTTGTTTTCTTTTTTAGATTCGTGATCTTGTTAAAAATGGTTTTCAATCAAAATTTAGTTGTTCATTAGTAGTTGATGTTGTTAAAAATATTCAAGTCTATCAAGATTTAGTTAATATTATGCAACATAATACAATAACACTTGATACACTTGAATGTTTAAAAGAAACATTACTTCAAATATTTGAACGTTTAAAAATTTTACCTGGCTTATTTCGTTTTATATTCAGTGATTCATCATTAATTAAATCAATAAAACAATTAATGCCATTAATTCAAATATTTTCACCTATGTTTTCTCAAGAAAGTTTTAAATTTGTACAATTAAATGATATGATTGAAAATGCAAATAATTTTACATTATTTTTACAACAAAAACGAAATATAACATCATTTAATCAATGGTATTTTAATACGAGATTAGTAAGTATTTAGATTCTTAGAATAAAAAAGTATAACGACAGCATATTTTTGATTTCTCTAATGCTAAACACCTAGTTCAAAACCGGATAGTGATTTAAATAAGAGTGTGGGTACAGTCACACCCTCGTTAACAGTGGTTGATCCTGATAGATTCTTTAAATAAGTCTTTTATATAACATATTAAAAAGAATATTGCAGAAAGTTCGTTTTTCGAATTAATTTATTTCCGCTGTCGGTTCTTGTTTTGAATTCAATTAAAAGTTTATATAGTATGTCTTATACATATAGGTTTTTATTTTATATCTATGAATAGACTATTTAAATGAACACAGACTTTATCTAAAATAAAAACGAATTTTTCTGATTGTTGATATTTTCTAACATTGGTATCAACATGATATCATTTCAACTCGGATCTTGTCAACGTTTCTCATAAATTCGTTGGATAAATTGTACATTGTATGGCTTCATTGAAAGATACTGAGTCATAATTTAGCTTGTTGTTGTTCGTGAAATGGAGCAGGCTGTTGAAGCTATTCGAACACTCGATATTGGTATATTTTCACAAACATAATGGATTTTGTCGATTTTCTCTTGTGTAATTTTTGAAAGATCTTTCAAATTGTTGTCGATTTATTACTATACTGATCTCGTAAAAGCATTGAAAAACATCTCTAATACAGTCTATGTCTGACATTTGTATATCAAATTCTACTTGCATTTTTTCTTTCACTATGATAGATGTCAAATCTATTTCTATTCTAATGTTTATATATACAGACATTTGCCTGAAATTATACAGAATAAAACTTCAAACAATATACTATAAATATATAAATTGCTCGAACGCTACAAGAAATATTTGCGTAAACTTTTCCCGCTGATTTTTAGGAGACCCTGTATACCAGAATTCGATAGATGAACCATGATGGCAAGGTTTCTAAAAGTACCGAGCACGATAGTTTTCAAGTCCTAGAAGACTATGTTCCATTTAAAAGAAAACAAATGAGTGCTCACCGCATTTTCTACAACCTTCCCTTAAAAACGTTAAAGTATTGTAAAAACCAGAAAAAGGGATTTTTAAAAATTTCTTAAAGCGAGGTCGTAGAAAATGTGACAACCCGTCATTTTGTTCTCTCTAAAATGGC